GGTCTTGAGTGCTGTTAGAGGTATGAGGGGGGTTATCACTTCCCGGTTGCCCACTGACATGGCTCAAAATCGTTTGCAATGGCGCAGGTGCATCCACTCTCTGTGTTCTCCCAAATTCTAATCTTCTGAATTCTTCATGTCCCTTTTTTCCTCTTTCCAAATTTATTTCACTGGATTATACTCTTTAAATAACATCTCCAAACCCTAATCTTCCCGATTACTGCTTATACTCTTATTACCTCTACCACTACGGGATTTGAATCGACAACTGCATCTCTGTGCTTATGTGGTGTGGCAACTCGAACTGATGTACGTACGTACGAAGTTCTACGTTGTTACTGACTGACTGACTGACTGTGGAAGGGTTGTTCTGGAGGTACCTGAAAAGGAAATTGGAATAAAGGTGGTCTTAGTGACCTGAGAGAATGACTGAAGTGCCCAAGGAACAACTGACTGAGGTCGGTCAAACACGACCTTTTTATGGGTGATTTTTGTGTTAGCTCCGTACTTGTTGAGACCTTACCGCCGGAGACGGATATCCGTGGGATAAGGCGAGGTGTGCGCTTTTAGGGTCGACCTTTTCTAACCCCACTCCTTCTTCTAAAAAGGCAGCATCGCTGTAGATGCTGGTTGTCCGTGGGAAACACCTTACTGCTGTCACACCTCTGTACAGTCAGCAGTACGACTTCGCCTTCGGACCTTGAGTTTGTTGCTTTTAGTCTTACTGCTCTCCAATTGACCTGTCTAACATGGTAGGACCTTGAGGAACGGTTGTTCCAGCCAGTATAGCTCGGTTGCTTCATTATGATAGGCAAGCACGACCACCACGTCAAGAAACCAACAACAGTCGGGAATTCTACCCTATTTCATCCAATATCATAGTCTGAGACATCACAATTGAGCTTTATGAGCACTCTAACCGACTTATCAATCTTCACTATGACTCGTTCACAAATAATGCTAGTTTACTTACAACTGTTTCATGAATATTTATAATGAGGTCCCTAATTATGTGATGGCATATAGAAATTTGTCGATGCAAATTTCGGCAGATTACATATTGTTTTTACTATTTTATTGCTAATAAATAGTATGGGACTGATATTATTTATTAATAAATTTCACTGTCAATAACTATGAAATCTGTTTCACGAGTTTTGTCTCATTTTGCACATCATATGAATATATATATAGTCATTTTTCGGTTGGTTGGAGGTAGTCGACATGACGATCTGAACTAAGGTTTTTTGTTAACTGAAATTTGTCAGCAAGACATACTTGGGATATCAATGGAACTGATACTCCTCATTGGATTCGAATCAGTGTCAACTGTCTTTGAATTCTGAGACACTACTACTGATCTATTCAGTTCATGACTAACCGCCTGTAGGACTGAGATGTTTATATGAATACTTTATGTATGTACTAACATTTAGACAGAAGGGTTTCATATTCAGTCAATTGGTTTGTGATAGCGAAATGAATAGGTCGGTGTTAGAATCTTACTGAAAGTGATACACCAATATAATTTTACTCCATCTGAACACTGATACAATGTATAAATAACAACGATATAACTTTGATTGAATAGTAAATAGTCATCCTATTAGTTGCTTTCAATCACTCATAATAGCATAGAGCCAGTTATCAATACTTACAACAGTTTATTTATTATTTCGATTACAGTGAGTAACCAGTTTATTAGAAGACGTTTGTCTATAAATTATACTCTACAGAAGTTTGTTTCAAACTGTATAACTCAATGAGTATAAGAACCTTTCAATTAAGTACAAAATTTAGATTTGTTTATCCAATTAGTTAAACACTTTTAAAGGAATGAATTAAGGTTAAATTTATTTGCGCATACTACCTCAAAATGATTGTTTATTGATCTGCAAAATTTAAACAGTAGCAGGCACAAATTTATTGACGTGCTCTCGGTTTTCATGTTCCTCCCCAAGTCCTACAGATCCCAATTCCCCTCTGTTTTAAGCACCGTTTTCCTACAAAAACGTTCGCGAGAAACTATGGGTTTCACCTGACCCGGCTACAGAGAACCAGATTAATCACATCTTGATGAATAAAAATTGCGGAATGTCTACAGGAGGGATGAGAACAAAGGGAGGAGCTGATGTAGCTTCAGATCACCACCAGGAGCAAAAGAAGCACTAAATAATTCAACAGACAACACTGTAAAAGTACGGTGCAACCTGGACCTGGTGGGTAGAGAACTCATAAGAGCCTTTAGATAGATCCACCCGACATTGAACCACCGCACACAGTTTTCTTTAAAAAAGATAAACCACCAAAAGTGTGAGAAATCGGTAGGGACATCAGACAGATATGAAATAGTAACGCAACAGAACCAGACAACGTACAAGCTGAAATTCTGAAGTTAGATATAGGGATAACTACAAAGATGTTCCACGTTATCATCACAACAATTTGTGAGTGAGGAAAAGTACTCACGAACTGGAAGATGAAATATTTCATCAATAAACCAAAGGAAGATCTTAGTAACTGTGAGTACTACAGAGGCATGAAGATTCTATCAGCACTACAGAAACTTTTAGACAGAGTGCTACTTAATCGCGTAAAAAATATAGTAGATTCCGAACTTCAAGATCAATGAACTGGCTTTCGTGAGGATGGCTTATGTATCGACCAAATAGTAACAATGTACATCCTGATTTACCAATGGATCGAAATGAACTCATCTCTCTAAATTAACTCCCTTGATTATAAGGATGAATTAGACATTGCGGATAGGAGAACATTGTGAAATCTTTTTTGAAACCATGAACTATCTGAGAACACAGACATCATCTTACACGAATCCGAACAGGGACTCAATTGCACAGTCTTGCATGAACGGCAGTTAACAGATGCATTCCGAATAAAGATAAGTGTCACACAGGACTGCATTCTCTCACATTTCCTCTTTCATTCGATTGTTGAATGGATTATAAAGATACCACATCTCAGTGGGAGCACTTACAATTCTAGTGCATACACACATACATGTATATCTATCTGGTGAGCCTCAAACATGGTAGAGATCGGTTCATGAATTTCACGATGAGCCATCATCAAAATATTCTAGAAACAGAATTTATTGATGTACTTCAGATACAATGTACATGTGCTAACGTACAAGTTTGGAAATAAACTTGTTAAGATGAATTCGTCTACTGAATTACCTGTTCTTTGATGAAATGATTTGCAAATTCCTAAGACGTTTGTTTTTAGATAAATTATCATCGATCACAAGTGACTGTGAAATGGTTAGACATCAAAAGTTGATTCATCATAATCTAAGAACTAAATGTCGGAAGGATATTATTGGCTTGTACAACTGACAAATAGTAAAACCTGTGTCTTACCTCATGTAATTAGGTTGGACACATTCCTTAGTATCACTAATATTAAATGAACACATGTAGGGAAATCTGTGATCAAGTGGTTGAAATTCAACTTCCATTAGACTAAATCCTGTCATTCTCAATGTTCGTCAAAGTGGTGGCCATTCAAATACAATAATCATCTTACTGAGTACTACTTTTTGTTATAACATATTTGCATAGATCATTGATGCACAAGAGTTACAGAGTATGAATGTGAAATCGTTATTCCCTCTGTAATGTGTCACACTACAATATCCTATTCATCATTAGGGGAGATTGCTACTTCTGTAGTGATCTAGTTGTATCTGTTTATCTCCACCATCACATAGAACTGAGTCACCATACCGACCAACTGCAATCACTCAATACTGAGTACAATCGTTGTTTAGGTGATTGTTAATTAATTACTAACTAGCTAATCAAGTGATTCGTATTGTGACTATGGGCTCTAGCACTTTATTTCTTGAGTGGATTATCTGGGGAGTATGTTTAATTTATCCCTCTCTACGACAGTTCACACAGTGTTTCTATTAGATTGAGTAGGCACTTCAATAAAAATGTTTGGTCCCAAAGTCATAACAGTTCGTTTTGCATCACTTCTAAATGATTGGCATCTGTCTACTTTCAAACCGATGTGATGTTAATTCCGATTGAACAGATCACGTTAACACGATTTATTCCAAGTATTCTAATCAGTTGCAGATACAGAATAATCAGTCAGAAATTGACATGATAGGTAGTCGTTAGCCCCAATAATCACGTCTCATTTGATGACTACATAGCGAGTGATACACAGAACTGACTTCTCCCAATCCCTCTCAACACATAAACATGTCTATGTTTCTGCTAATAACTTGCACACTGACACGTTATTTTGTTCCATAAGCAACCTATTGTTCTGTTCAGTGATCTCGTCTTGATATCGGCTTACTCGTTGATTCAATATATCCACAATTTGATCTCGTTAATATCCAACACTCGACTATATCGGATTATCACATAAAATCAGTCGATCGGCATCCTATTCATTCAACTTGACAATTCCAAACAACAATCACTCAGAAAATTCATCTCGATTACCGATACACAATGGTTACAAATGATCCCCTGTTTAAGTAGCACTAAAAATCAATCTGTGTTATTTATTCCGTAGTCTATACATCCTTCGTGTTTCGTATTTGTGAAGAACATCGATTGACAGTACTCATGGTACAGATTTATTCTAATTTGTGAAAGTATCTGAATTATGGAAGCCACATACTGTTGAAGGCAATGAAAGTGAGATGAAACAGATGAACGAGGGTTAACGCACAAAAATCTATATATCGATTATTCAAATGACCAACCTTCATCTAATAAGACCACCGAACTCAAAATAAATGAACACAAACTATGTGATTTAACCGAGTTCGTGTCATCATTGTCGATTGATATGATGTTACCACGTGAAAACTAGAATAATCCAGTGTATTTCGAGTATTCAACCAAACATGAAACATAACACTGACACTGACCGATAATATCCTGGTGAAGTAGTGGCAGATTCATTTTAATCGTACACTGAATGCCCAATAAAACTTCGTTTCAGTGATCTTGTCGATTACAATGTTTATATATCAATATGATATTTAAATTAGAAAAACACACAGTAAAGCAATCATTGGACATGTAACAACACAACATGCACATTGAATACTGTCAAATATACAATACAATAGATGTTATTGCTTAAGCTAAATTAGTCACAAGAGAAATAGAATGATCATGAATGAGAGAAAGGATCAAATGTGGGAAATTGGTTGAATGTTTCAAAGCAAAATAAACGAATTGGTCATTGGTTTACCGATGTGCCAGACGACTTTCTCGAATTGTTCTCGTTGTTGTAGTGGTTCGAACGGTAACACATTTTGACGACATGATTGCCAATATAGCCACTTGTGTTGCTAGTACAGCTCCAGTCACTGCGAAGAAGTATGACCAATGATGTCCGACTAATGATGTGTACACTAATATGCCAATCAAGAGAGCTGCAGCACCCAAGTATAATATGATGAAACGTACAGTTGTATAAGCAGCACGTGAGGCGAATACATCTGAACACAATGCAATCGCATCCAATAGGATGATGATTAATAGGCATACAGTGCCTAAAATGATTAAGCCAGCAACAGCTGATACAGTCTCCTTATGAACAGTATTCTGACATCCTGAGAATAAATTTCCACAATCCCAAAGACTTGTTACCAACGATGCAATACTCAGACCCACTGCTAAGCATAACAGACTAACACCCAAACGACGTAATTCAATGATCATTGTTACTACTGTTGACTGTGATTAGTATTGTTTGAATATGGCGAATAATAATCCACTGAACTGTTCAGTACATCAACTGTAAATCGATATGAGTTTTGTTTGTTTGTGTTAATAAGAAATAGTTGTTGGAAGTTGTAATTTATATAGGCCTACTAATATTACTGATTTACACCTACTCAACAAAAACATATAATTAACCTAGAGTAGTAATTTTTTATTGGTTAGTTACTACTACAGTTAGTCAGTTGATATTGATGACCGAAATGTGTGTGTGTGATTGTGTGATTGTGTGTAGTTTTGATTTAACAAACATAAGTGAATGGAAATAATGATGATGATGATGATGATGATGATGTCACATGAAGGTATATAAATTTGTACTTTTGATTAAGTTAATGAGGATAGCAATAATAACGATAATTATAGTGGTACAAAACTCGACTGATTATTTGCTCAATACGTTTACAATGTTTTAGATCATTTAACGGAATCAGCTTTGATTAATCAGTTAGTGAAGACTAGGTAACCATGACTCTAGCGGGATTCCGACTCAAATTCTCTGGTTTAGTGACGGGACCTTGACTTTTAGATTGGTGAGCTTTTATCTGACGGTTCTTGAGTTTAATGTTTATCAATTTGTGATGTTGCGCGATCATCTGCCACTAATTATTATAATGGGTTACTGTCTCATATCCCATACGGTTGAACTTTACTAGAGACAGTTTCTCAATAGAACTTCCTTTATATCCTCTCAAGATTAGCAGTCAGACCTGCATAATTTTAAATGGGTAGTATTTTTCATCAGTTAATTAATATTCTAATGTGTGAACATATATTTTAAATCTCTTGCTGATCGAGTTTCACACTGACTTGATTTCGCGCTTTTGATTCTGTTGTGGTGTAGGTTACTATGTTAGGCCCATATACCTTATTCTAGCTTCTGAACAGGCCAATTTATCCAATCTACTTGAGTCATATTTTGACCTTGTTAATTATTCACTTATCAACGTTGATTGTTTTTATATGAGCATATGATGTATGCACTTCTTATCCTATTCACCACATGTCTGCAACTTATTTTTGTGTGACTATAAATATTGCTTAGTGCTTCACTAAAAGGGAGTTGGCTTACCAGCCATCTCCACTGCTCATCATTACTCTTTGCTCTGTTCTGTTCGTTTCCTTCGCTTTGTTCCTCTAGTTGTCTGTCCAGATCAGTGAGTGTACAAAATATTTGTATTCAAAAATCCATTCTCGTATGCGACTACTTTAATTCCGTTATACTCTAACGCGATTTAAGTTTACGAAATATACGAGGATAGCGAGGATGTATATTTCAATGGCAATCAGAAACGATCACACATATGATATAATCGGAGTTAGATATAGGGCCACAAACGTGGTGATTCTGTAAGCAACATCATACGACCTGATTGGAGTCATATTAAAGGTCACAAAACTGTTGTATAACGTTCCTCTTCTGAAAATAGGTTCGACTGAAGGCGTTGAAATGGGCTTACATCATAAACAATATATTGTGAGTCTGTTCCTTGTTGTAACGTTATATATATTAATGCCTTAATGTTTTTTGTGTTGTTGGATTTCTCCACATATTTATATATTTGATTCTCATCATGCCTCTCGTCTACCACCCTACAACTCATCTCATTCTCACCTCATAGCACCAAAGCCTGTTGCTGTTATGTAGAAGCTGACCAACCTCAGATAGACAGTTCCTTGCAGTAGTAAAGGCACCATCGCGCGAGTTCAACAGGTATTTTACACTTAGCATGTTTTCTTCTGATGTTTCAGTACCTTACTAATCTGTGATAAAGGTTATCGTTAAACGTGGAAACTCAACCGATAGAAAAAAAATTTAGATAATCTCTTCTGTGGTGTTACGCTCAAGATAGTTTGAGATTAAAGTTGTAACATTCACTCTTCAGTATGTTTGCATATACCTGAATGTACTTTGTTTGCTGTGAGAGTGTGATAAGTAGCATGTATGAGAGAATGTGGAAAAGAAAAGAATAAGAGCAAAAAGTGAGCCAACAATTCAATAGGCACATAGACTTCATTGACGTTGAATTATGAAAGCAATCAAAAATAATTAAAAACAATACATGAATGATATTAAGACAATCTAATAATTAAAACTAGAAGTTGATAATTTAAGGTTCTGAATGAGTTACACGGTGAAGTATGCAGTAACAATATTGTTTAGAATGTCAATGAAGGTGATAAAATTGAACTACCCACTTTAAGAAATACTACAAAATATAGAAATATCAACTAATTAGCTGATTATATGATTGAAAAGAACAAGGATAAAGATTCTAGTAGAATAGCATGAATTCATTTGATTTCGTCTTGTCTTCATCAGCTGCTTACAACCTGTGATATTTAAAAACGGCATTTACATAATGGTTGTAAATTACTTACATGAGAGGGTTTAGTTGGAAGTTATATTGAAGACATATTCCTATAGTATAGCAAGGGTATAAATAAATTGAACAGACTGAATATTGTACCTTATGTGAGAGAACATTCTACAAGATTGATTGTGACAACAGTCCAAACGGTCAGAAACAAGTAATTACGTAATGAATAAACTCTGATAACAATAAAATGGGTAAAGCCCAGTTAATAAAATAAGATTATTAACCTGGTAGACAGTCTGAATAAAGACTTAGTGATGTAATAAATGCAAGAAAGAGTTTAACGAAAGAAGAAAATAAATTTTAAAATGCAACGAAGGAATATTTGTCACCAAAGCAAGGAAAGATTAACAGTCATCTCTTTTTGAACAGGTAAGTCAGATTTTTGACGCCTGATAGCAATGGCTTCAGCAAACTTCAGAAGACTGAAGTTTGGCTGCTTATATGATTGTATTAAGCATAAATTCTACATTGCAACTGTTTTATAGAAGAAAGTATCAAAATACCAATCTGAGATTATGGTGTTATCCGAAAATGCTTGTAATGTTCTGTATATGATTGTAATCTTTGTACTTTTTCTTGGAAAACTAAGAATTCTGAAATAAATTTTATTATATTAAGAAGTGCTATATCTTTTGGTCTTGTGTCCAATCAATGTCACGTAATGATACCGCCAATTAGAGAACAGTAATTTATCGATTGGACCAATGACGCGTAAACTCGTACAAGCAGTCTACAGTCTTTATAGGTCCTTGCTTCCTGCCGAGCCCTGCCTGTTAAGTACAGAACACCAATCTCAGTCTCTACGATATAAAATCATATATTTCAAACATACTGGGTTTATATACAAATCAAACAAACCACATTATTATTATTATTAGCTTTATTCAATATTATAATTTTGGTACAATATAGAATTCTCAGCGCAAAGTATTTCAACAAGTTTTTTTTTTTCTTCTTGGTCGGTCCTGGCGATAAATATTGAGGAATCGCCAGTTAGATGTTAGCACTTCAGTGAATGAACAACTGAATAATGTACATTCTTTTCGTTGTACATTGCCAGCAACCATATTGTCTCTTATTGAGTTTTCTGTAACTTTGACAACGAAAGGTTGTACACTTTTCTGAAACGCAGCAGAATAGGTTATGCGATTAATAAACATAATGATATATTAAAACAAACAACAATAGATAACTTGTTGAAATATCTAGATGGCAGGAACAGGTAGCCCAGATGCTCAAGCAGGCCGCACCATAGAATACAAGATCTAGCCAAAAGTGGCTGTGAATATAGTAGACTGTAATCAATAAACTGGGCATAACTTAACAACAGTAAATTATATCATAATAGTTCATAGGTCAAAATAAAGCTTGTAATAAGAGTAGTATAGATATACATAATCTAGTTACTGAATAATTATACATTAAGAATATACCTATGATATATGTTCATAAATAGTTCTCAAAAGTTACCATTTATTATTCCTGTCGGGATATATAACAAGAAACATGTATATGAATAGAATTATTGAACGAAACGTTTACAGTCTAAATCTATTCACTGATATAGTTTATTGTTAAAATGTCAATTGAATGACAGTATGTCAATGTAGTTTTACATTGATCAATTACTTTCTTATGTACATGGAATATTGATTCATATTTCAATATAGATCACTTGAAATCTTATTAATTAACTGAATACTATTCATAATAAACAAATTCCCCCAACAACTGACTATACGTCTATCGATTTGCAATTCGAATGATTATTGGTGAGATTATAATTTATGGACGACCTTCGAAAAATGCTAAAGTGTCCTTCAGAGTATTTACTTAATAACTAGGATGAAATAAGGGTGATAAACTAGCATGAGGAATTCAAATTATGATTTACAGTTGATGGTAAGGGTTAGGAATTAGATTTATGGTTTTCATCACAAACTGACATCAGCTATAATGCTAAAACTCTATTTAACCAAATGGATGGGTGAATTTCATGGTAAAATTCAAGACCTATTGTCTTATACCTAATTGGTTTGTTCATAAATTATCATCTCGCCCGATTAATGTACTCAATACAATTACCATCATTAGTTTTATGACTATACTAAGTAAAAGGATTGATAGTAGCCAATACTATCCTCTAACATTATTTCTATTCCATGTATTACATTTGCAATCAATAGTATTACTATTAAAACGAATTAATAGATAATTAAAGGTTTCAGAATGACTGAATTGAACATTCTGACTCTTGGGACTTTATAAACTGATATACCATTATTAATCAAACAAATCTTTTAAAAAAAAGGCTGTTACTAGGTAACTTACTAAGTTGGTTACGTAATACAGATTTAGAAAATTTCGAAACATTTTCTGCCAAAAGTTCCTTGGGTAACTGAACCAGATTTCAGCCGATAGCATATATTTCTCCGCCGGATAAATAAGCCAAACCTTGATCAGTAGCCTGAATTCATCAACATCACTTATCCACCATTTTTCTGATTGGCCCAGACTATCTTCAGTTTCATAGCAGTTTAGGTGGGGTGGGGTGTGCATTAACGAATTGTTTGTTAGTTAACAAATAAATAGTCAATAATGAAAATAAAGCTCACAAAGTGAATAATGGACCTCTGCATCCGCTAAAGTTGATTTATTATTTAGTTTATTTTTATTTGAACACAAATATTGGTACGAAAGGG